CCTACGCTTCGCGCCGCTGCGCGCCGCGCTCGTCGTCGTCTTCCTGGCCACGGCCGACGCCCTGGCCGGCTTCGGCGCCCAGGCGGTGAGGAAGAAGAAGAAGAAGCCCGCGCTGCGCACGGACCTGCGCAAGGCCGGCACGGTGCTGCCGCTGACGCACCGGCCCGTGCCCGAGGGCATCATGCGCCCCGACTACGCCGCCGACGGCACGCCGAAGAAGGTGGACCTCCGGCCGTCGTGGATGATCGAGGTGAAGAGCGCCAAGGACGTCGAGATGATGCGCGCGGCCGGCAAGGCGGCGCGCGAGGTGCTCGACGCCGCGGGCGCCGCGGTCAAGCCCGGCGTCACGACGGACGCCATCGACGCCGTCGCCCACGCCGCGGCGGTGGCGCGCGGCGCCTACCCGTCGCCGCTCAACTACCACGGCTTCCCCAAGAGCTGCTGCACGAGTGTCAACGAGGTCATCTGCCACGGCATCCCCGACGACGTGCCGCTGAGGGAGGGCGACATCGTCAACGTCGACATCACGGTCTACAAGGACGGCTACCACGGCGACTGCTCCGAGATGTTCTACGTCGGCGCCGTCGACGACCGGTCGAAGGCCCTGGTCGACTGCACGTACGAGTGCTGGCAGAAGGCCATCGAATTCTGCGAGCCGGGCCGGCCCTACAAGGAGATCGGGGGCATCATCGAGGACGCCATCAAGGGCACGGGCTACAAATCCGTCGAGCAGTTCTGCGGCCACGGCATCGGCAAGCTCTTCCACACGAACCCGAACATCCTCCACTATCGGAACAAAGATCCGAACGGAATCATGGCCGTGGGCCACACCTTCACCATCGAGCCCATGATCTGCGAGGGCACGATCAACGCCAACCTCTGGAAGGACAACTGGACCGCCGTGACGAAGGACGGCGGACGAAGCGCGCAGTTCGAGCACACGCTGCTCATCACGGAGGACGGCATCGAGGCGCTCACGGGCAAGCTCGACGACTCGCCCCTCCAGCCCTGGGAGGAGACGCGCGGGGGCTTCAAGACGAAGTGGGCGAAGTAACACCAAAATGAGGGACAAGTTCATGTCCTGCGAAAAACCGAGNGCGGCGAGTGAGCAGGGATCCTCGAGCCGCGCGCGGGCAGTCCATTAGGGCAAACTTCCT